AGAAGTACCATTTAAAACTGTTCATCGTTCCTCTATGACAGTCTAACAGAGAAAATAATGTTTTCTTTTTTTTTTTTTTAAAGCAGCAATCATGCTATAGATCTTTCTGGAATAGTGACTCTCTGTAGTCACTTGTAAATCCAGCTGGACTCGAGAGTGACACCCTGCATACATTGCACCATTATTTCTCCTGTCTCCGGAAGTTCTATGAATAATGGGATCCGAGAAAACGCTGTTTGACTTGAACAAAAGCAGCTTGCAGTTCTGTAAAGCTATTGGTATTGAGGGCATAGTAGATTTACTGTTCCTACTTGAGGTTAAATAAAGCCCACATTCTATTTCATGTATCAAAATAAATCATCATTAAAATAACAAACGTAAATAATAGGTGGTAGATCCCTAAAACGTACCAGCTTTAAAATAAAAATGCTAGGTTAACATATCCAGATACAACTGTCTTCGTCTGTACTGAATTCTAGAAGATGGTAAAAACTGCAAGTAATTCATCATGGAAAATGAAAGGATTAGCCGACATCTGAGCTGGTGACTAAGGAGGGTGATGTGGTGGGGCGTACAGCCATGACGGACTTGGAGAAAAAGTCGGCAAGCCGAAGACAGTAAGGAGAAAATCATACCACGGGAACACAGAGATTTTCCAGTGATCTATAATCTAAGATGACACCTCCTTTAGGAGGTTCCAAAAGAGAAGCGGCCAAAGGAACAGACTGTGGTTGGGGGTAGTTGTCACAAGCACCAGGCAGCCCTGATCCTGCAGCCAAAAGCACAATGTGATGGAAATGCAGGCTTAGTGAATTCCTCCAAAATCTTCCAGCTGCTGAGGGGCCAAGAGATGATCTTTTTATGAAATGGGCCCTGTAACTGACAGCATTTCTACCTAGAATCTGATGGTTCTAATTGGGTACGGTCTGTAGGTTTGCATATGGTCACCTATGAAAGTCTCAGCTTGCAGATGTTACCTAGGAAGAAAAGCCATACGGTTTGGCGAAAGGAAAACTATCATCACAGAAGAGCACATGCTTCGTTCACTGTGTTCAGAGTTCACCTTGAAACTTGGGAGTTAAGCAAGCTTTTACCTCAGACAATTAGACAAACTTTCTATGTGTAGATTCAACACTTCTCCTCAAGGAAGCTGGTGTTTGCTCCTACCTTAAAAAATAAATTTAAATATTTACTATATTAGCTCTTTCAGTTTTATAAAATACACTTATTTTTCAGCCCATATCAAAATGTTTTTTTAGAGAACTTAGATAACAGAAGTTTTATTTTTGTGAGTTGCTATGTGTAGATAACTTCCAGATTGTTCCAATCAAACGACTCCTTGGTTGAATATTAATGCTTCATTTTTACCCAATGGTAGGGATAATCTTCCTTCAGTAAAGCAAATATCAGACACATGCTGTATTTGTTTATTATACAGTTGAGGTTCCAAGATGTGTCGTTTTCTGCTTCTGTCTTCAAGGAAACAAATCTATGCATTTACCAACTCGCTCATTTGATAACTACTCATTGGACACGACAGGCCGTGCAGAGTACAATGGGAACACTGCAAAGTCAACAAAGGCTCCTTAGGGTACTATGGCTTTAAAGGGTGCATTAGAATTCTATAGGGACAATAGAAGAATAAGGGGGGAATCTCGGGGGTGGTGGCGGGAGAAAGGACTGTATTAGGAAGGCTGTTGAAGAATATGGGGAAGCTTTCTAGCAAGGCTTCGTATTTCATGCATACCTAGCATGTGCAAGTAACAGGCAGGTGGCAGGAGTATTCTCCCAGAGGAAAGCTGGTGGAAAGGGGGTGGTTAGTCCGCACATGCTGTGAGTCTGGACTTGAAGATGGCTGAAGTGAGAGGCAGAGGATGTTTTCATCCAGTACCATGACACAGTCAGCCTTAGGCTGCGGAATCAGGACCATCATTTCTGTGGAGGGTGGCAGTCCATTACAGACCTCCATGCTGAGGAAGACTCTGCTCCAGCAACGGCAGTGAGGATGAGGAGGGAACCAAGCCAACAAATACTTTCGACGTAGAATAATTCGAGACTGGAGACCTGCATGTGGCTAATTGTTGCCAGCAGCGGAAAATGAACCTCCAGCCTGGGAACCAGAACAGGATGCGACAGAAATGTACTTAAATGGCCTTGTTATTTTGGGGATGTGTGTAAATATGTTTACTCGATTCGTCCAAAAATATCCTAAAACTTTTAAAGATGTAAACACACCATGAACATTTGTTTGCTTAAATTTAAATTATTCTTGCTAAGAAATCTGACTAAAAGCAGAAATAATAAAAAGCTGTGAAGGTGTATCGGGGGAAAGGCACAGACAGTGCTGTTTAATTTCTGAGCTAAACCACGGGTAAATGCAGAGTTATACTCAACTGCCACTTTTCCCAAAGACTTCATCCACTGGAAAGCAGGTTGCAAAGAGGAACAAACACACCAAGATAGGTTGCTGTTCACACTGCAGCAAAGGACAATTAAAAACACCAGCAGCTCGAGGTGGACAAGCAGGAAGGAAACTTTGGGGTCAGCACTTCAAGAATCCCTTGGACCTTATGTTGGAAAAAGGTGTAGGGGTGCCACGAAACTCTTATCTGACAAGTTCACCAGTCAGTCTGTAATACAAAGTAGCGTTCTTCTAGTGCATGTGGAGGGAACAAGCCAAGACTGTGGTCCCTTCCAGCCAGACCCCTCCTTACTCAGGAGGTTTATTTAGCATGTTTCACTGGATGTCAACACTTTTTTCTTGGAGAGGCAGTAATGAACACAGTGAATATCAAAACGGCCACTGTGCACGGAGCACATGCACTGCAGTGTGCTAAGTGCCTCTTCGAAATCATCCTCTGGAATCCTGTCATCCTGTGTGGGAGCCACAGGCTGAGAGGGGGGGCTTAGCGTGGCTAGTGAGCTCAGGACTTCGTTCAGCATTCTGTCCGAAGAGAATGGGTTTTCGAGTTTGAGGCTAAGGAGCCATGGTACCCCTGGATTTCAACTTGTTATTGTGTTCTGTAAATGAAGAGACTAAACAGTGTTTGGGACCACAGTCAGGTTCTTAACCCTCCACCCTCCAAGCCTGGACGTTTCTATGTCTATAAAGTGGGGTAACATCTGGATTACTTCCAAAGTAATTTACCATGTAAATATGAGGCATCATGATTCTGTGCACCTCAAAGAGTGCAGTCAGTGTGCCAAGGTCCTGAGGCAATTCAGATAGCCTTAACTAGGTTCCTTCCTCGGTGTGCCTGTCTCCCCATTTGCAAAATGTTGATAATAATTATATCCTCTTGATTTGTTGATTAGCAGGATTAAGTAAGTTTATATGAACAAATGACTTGGAATAGTGCCAGACACAAAGATTGTACTGTATGTTTGCTAAATAAAAAGCCAAGCCCAGTGTATTGTGTCTATCATATGATAACAAAGACAGATATTTTTCAGCCAAGGACTAGGTAATTTGACGACCATCATCTCCCAGCTTACAATTTCACACAATCTGCAGCTCTCTGCAGACCTATCCAACAAGACATGCATTCTGTTTTCTTCCCGCCACACTGTCCACAGCACTATCCTTGTCTCCCATGAAATCACGCTGATTAGCAGACAATTTCATGAAGATTGGGTGAAACAAAAGAATGGGGTTTGGAGATGCACTTCCACGTCTGTCATCTGGGGCAAACTTTCCTTCCTGGAATGCTTTAGAAGACATACATGTTGTTGCTCTGTCTGCACTTGGAGAAAAATCTCTTAGCAATGTCAATGACTGAGACACAGTTTCTAAGCATCGTCCTAGAGGAGATAAACATCTCATAAACATGGGCATCTTCAAGGAAAACTTTAATTGCATACTTTTGTGTTTTCCTTCTTTTGTTCGTGAGTGAGGGCCAAGTATGAGCTGCTTTTGGTTCCCATACAGTGTCAGCTTTCTCTGCAAGCTTCAATGTCCTTAAGGTCCCAGACACTGAAATGGACCTCTGCCGTTGATTTTGGTTATATATCGCGTATAAAAAAATAACCACACAGCATCAGAAAGGCAAACATGTTTCCTCTCATTTTTAGATCCTATATTTTCTATAGATACAATTGTGAATGTATAGGATAAGACACAGAAGTAGAAGTGAAATTACACACGGTTACAAAGGGAACCAATGGGAGGGGAAAGGAGAAGAAAAGGGGGGGGGTTGGGAGTATATGCTCAAAGTACCTTATATATTAAAATGCCTTATAAAACAAAGTACCACATGCAATGAATATATGACAGCTAAAATACTCAGAAACAAAAAGAAAAAATGGAGTAGGGCCAGAACTGGTGCAGGAGAATTGTCTGTATTCTGTCAATCATGTTTTAAATAAACGCTGATTGGCCAGGCAGGAGGTGTAGGTGGGAAAACCAGACAGGAAGTGGAAATGATGCAAGGAGAGCAGGAGAATTCTGGGGAGGAGGAAGTTGATTCCTCCCACTCCTGCCCAGATCACTGAAGCAGCAGGATGTAAGCTGCCCCACTGAAAAAGGTACTGAGCCACATGGCTAACATAGATCAGAAAAGTGGGTTAATCAAGATGTGAGAGTTAGTCAGTAAAAAGCCTGAGCTAACGGGCCAATCAGCTTTATAACTTACAGAGATTTCAGTGTGGTTGATTTTCTCTGGGGCCTGCTGGCTGTAGGGTACCAGGCGGGGACAGAAAACACAAACAAGCAGGGCCCTACATGTTACACAGAACTAAGGGAGCTGTATGCTACTTAGCAGCATCTCCTAGGTCCTAGCTCTTCTCATGCTCTAATGATTCTTTGTAACACAGATCAGTCATTTATAGAATTAGGAACTTCAGGGGTTAAGGCTGCACTGTTATAAAACATCATATGTAACAACCAGATACACCTCTGCGTTTGTATGAACTATTGTTTTAAGGATAGTTGAATATTGCACAAGAGAAAGAAAATAGAGAGCCAGCCAACTTCCTAATGCAAAACTTCTTATCATGAACAGCACAGGAGGCCCTCCGAGAAAACTGAAACCAGCACTACCACATGAGCCAACAACCCCTGGGTATCTGCCCGAAAGAATAATGCTCAAAGAGACCTGGATAAGACGCTAAAATATATGTGTTTTGATCCCAATTAAAAAGCTAACATAATCAAGTTCTTAATCTCGGCCTGCGCCTACCATGGCTGTAACACATCTGTCAGCGGTTGTGGGGGGCAAGACGCGCTGCTGGGTTCTGGGTTGGCAGGCCTCCCGCCTGTGTTGTGGTTACTCCACTCTGCCATGGCACTGGAAATCAGCTGTAGACAGTGAGGACCACACGGAGCAAAGGTATGTATCAACAACAGCCGCTCCCAGTGTTACCTCAACCGTAGGTGGCTGGGCTGTAGGCACAGGTTGCTGACCCTTGCAGAAGAAACAGTTATCTGTACGTGATGAGTTTTATCAGCTCATAAACACCAAAGACTCTGAAGGCCAAGAATTAGAAGAGAGATCTTGTGATTTTTTTCCCCAGCATCTAAGATTAAAAGTCTCAGCAACAGAGGTAAGCAGACTCAACAGGATGAGACTGTCCTTGAGGTGCAAGGCAAATACTACAAAGTGAGTGACTGCTCCTCCCTGTGGCTATACGTCTTCACAGATGAGTTCCAGAGCCTTAGAACTTAGAGGAAAACAGTGTTACAGAGGGAGGAAGTCTGGTGATTGCATTGAATAGACGCAAAATCAGACTTAGACCCAAGTGTCTGCACACCATGCAAGCAGTGCTGGGAACAGGAGCCTGACTCAGACAGAGGCTCCCCCCCCCCCCCCCCCCCCCCAAAGTTTAGTCAGGAGAAGCAGCTGTGGTACAGCCACCAGCTCTGCCAGACTTATCTCTTAGGGCCTTAGTCTAAACAGTCTTAGTGCAGCCCTCAAGCAGATTTTTGGTATTTACCAAGTTCTGCCGGAGAAAAATCAATAAAGACACTCAAGGCCTCAAGGCCTCATCTCATGAAAGTCAGAGTTGCAAGCAAGGCTATAATTATTAGTTCCCTTCCAAGCTGTGCCATATGAAAATGGCAGGCTTTTCCTATGGCATTTTGGCAGCAAGATGCAAAATGCTTGGGGCCCACAAATAACAAGAGCTCCAGTTAAACATCCAAAACAAAACAAACACAGGCACACACTGAAAACCAACCAATAAACAGCAACAACTATGAAACAGATACATTTAAAGGAGTATTAACTTTATAAAAGGAATTTTCACCTCACCTCATAAAAGGGCTCAACCCATATACGGAATTCTAGAATGAGCAAAACCAGAAGAGACAATGGAACCAGTTCCCTTCCTCTTTTGATACCAGAACTAAGAAAAGCCCAGGAGGGTTAAATTCTGCTTAGATACTTAACATTGTCCTACAGTACAAATCAAACAAAATATTACCTATGTGCTCAACCCAGATTGTTGATGCCAGACCTAGTCAGGCATTGAATTGAAGCAGGAACCAGTTTAATCCAGAGAGCAGTAATGCAAGGTGAAAACTGAAGGTCTCTATCACAGGGCAGGGAGGGGGTGGCAATCCTGTAATATTAAGAGGCTTCAACTCCCCTGGGAACTGCCCTCAATTGCTAAAAGAGCCTGACCTCTGACAAGAACCAATGATTTCAGCAGTAATTAATAAAACTGTCAAATTAATTAACCCAAGTCTTTGTTCACAGGAGAAAAAAAACCCCATCTATTATCAATATCGTTCTTTATTAGTCGTTGACCAAACTCTTCGACTCAAACCTTTACCACCAGGACAGAAGGTCATCACTGACCAATGGCTCTCCCTAGTTCAATTGCCAATGTTTGTTAATAAGCCATACTGTACTGTGCTGTTTGATGATATGATTAGGATCAACCGGGCTCTACAACCTAATGGTATTTCTAACGGAGGCAGACAGGCCTATGAATCCCAGCGTATATCACTTAGAGTTCCTAGAATGCTTTTTAGACATCCTTTGAATTACTGTGATCAAACACTAGACAAATGCTGCAGGATTTCATTAAACTATTTAGTAAATGGCTCTGCTTATAACCCTGGTTCCCATGTCTTTGTCTTTAGAGGCAGAGCCCCACAAATGCCACGTCTACATTTCCATACTATCTCTTCAGAGGCTTCAGAGCTAGTTTCTTACACCCAACACAGCTTTTATTCCATTTAGAATAATTACCCTCCATCCCATTTCTGACTTTCAAGAAAAACAAGACACTTAATTGACCACAGGAGCTCTCAAGGGCACAGGCTTCAGAGGTTCTGCTGGGGCTCACAACTTGAGCTGATGTAATCTACTCTGAGAAGCTGACTTCTATTTTTAAATTATACCCTTTTATTCTGCCTTCAAAGGGCACATATATCACACATTAACTTTGCTCATAAAATACCTCGTGGTACCAGGGTGAATCATGCTGTCAGGAGGAGCCTCCAACTGCACACAGACAACTAGCCCCGCCCATGAAATCCACCCATCAGTCCTACACTTCAGCCTGCAGCCTGGCTCCAGGGCCTCACTCTCCAGGTATCTCCTTCCTCCCAATCATTTTGACAAGGAGCAGATGACTAGCAGGGTTCTTCCAGAAGGCTAGGATCAGGATTTCCTCTCTTTAGCTCCCCACACAAACACTTAATAAAGACTCCTAATGTTGATGTGTAGAGCTGTTCGCAGCCTCTGTGCTACAAAGGGTGCCAGATCATTTGCTTTGTTTAATTTTAAATTTTCATTCATCATGTCTGTCTTCTTCACTATGACTGCGCTTTTTGAAAAGTTTCCTGATATTTGGGAAATGCTGGAAAAAAAGAGTCTTGGCTGGAGGTGAAAATTCACTTCCAATTTGACATTTATTTATGTTTATTCTGCTTATTTCTAAAAATAATAAACAGCTTTGTAATTAGAGTGACGCTCTACTGAGTCTGCCAGAGGTCAGAACAGTGTGTTTTTCTCTGCGTTCCATCCCTCTGAGACCCAGGCATGCCATGTTTCATCTGGTTTGTACTCTTGTACTCCCTGTTCTATCATGAAATCTGACTGAGCTGGTGGGAACACAAATTTTGCTATACCCATCCCCTTCTCAACACTCTTCCAGCCCCTCCTGATAGACGCCCCTTCTTTTCTAGTCCTGCTTCCCTCTGCTGCCCCATTGCGTGGGTACCTCTGTCTCCACAAATAGCCTCATGTGGGCCCTGGATACAGATGCTATGTTGCTTCTACCTTGGACTGTTGTCCAAGTTGACTCCTCAGTTAGAAACTCTGCTCCATTGTCTCCCACTTCCTCCATCTAGATCCCTCCTATTTGTCTTTTTTTAAAAAAATGTTTCTGTGAGAATATACTCTGACAAAAATAACCTAATGGGAAAGGGTTTTAGTTTATTGTTCAGGGTACAGTCTAATATGGCAGCAGGTTGAGGCAGAAGGAGCTTGAAGTAGCTGGTCGTTATCACCGTCACAGTCAGAAAGGAACAATGGATTCATATATGCACTCAACCCTCCCTCTTTCATTTACTCCAGGACTCAACCCATGAAACGGTACTGTCTAAAACTGAGATGGCTCCTCCTACATCAGTTAATGTAATTAAGCCCAGAGACCCAGCTTCCAGGTGATTCTAGAAGTCAAGTTGATAACATGAACCATCAAACTGTTCATTCTTCTGTTTCCTGTGGGGTGCTACTTATCTGGGATCCCCCGTCTAAATTTGTATATCTTTAGTAGTGTTCCACCTCAGACGACCACTCGGGAAACTGCTTTGGATTTACTTTTTTTATGCTCAACTGACTGCATGAGACAGGACTTAGTGCAATGCTGTATTCCTCTGTGCTAGCTGCCATGTAACTGGGCTTCAGTATCACTTGTTGAATGAACCATCATAAATGAATGAATGCATTCTAAAAAATTCCAAGTAGGGGGCCATAACCGTGAGGTAAGAATCACAACTTTTCCTCCTCCAGAATATATGAATTCAGTCAAACTTCAAGTCCAGACTTTACTGGCTGAAATGTGGGGAGGAGATGGCACTGAGAGACAGGACCCTTGAGGTCACACCTGGAGCACGGCTGGGTCACTGTCCCAAAGGTCTTAGCAACACACTCAGTAGCACACTCCTGAGAGATAAACAGACACTCTAAGGCGGACTCCCACTGGGACCAAGACCCTTAAGCCTACATAGAGTGAATTATAAATACATTGCACAGAACAGAAAACTTGACACGCTAGAGAGTTAGCAGCAAGCCGCACCTCGGTGTGCCTACTTCTAACCTGAACCATCAATCGCATTTATCAATTTCCAAAGCACCGGCGGTCACCTGCATGAGAGGGAATGCTGAGTGATCTGAGGAGAGCTGACTCTGGCACCTTGAACTCTGCTTAGAATCCTGCCACTTGACATGTAAGTGCTAACCAGGGCTGGGTGATGACCCAGGGGTTAGGCTCTAGAGAGAACCAAGTGTTCCCCTGTCCTTGTGAAGGCTCCAGTCTAAATACACTTTTGAAGATAGTCTTTCTCACAAAATACTCCTTTTCCCAATCCAAGTCCACCACATCCAGCTATTAAATTAAATCTAGCACACACACACACAGGATTACGGCGGCAGGCACAGCTTCAGCAACTACTGCAAGGCAAAGAATTAAAAAAAAAAAAAACCCAAAAACCCAAACCACCCATATTTTCCAGAATCAAGAGATTGAGGGCATTAGACGATGGGAAATGTTCCAATGTTCAAACCAAATGACGAAGGACTTGGGTTTTGTTTCACCATTCCACAGCTAGCAACCACCCCTAGCAGACAAACCAAATAAACAAAGATCCACACAAATGTCTCCTGCCTCCCGGAGGAACTGTTTACTTGCATTATCTGTCACGCTGGAGGCACCCAAGACTGTTCCCTGAGTGGATGGGTCACAGGCAAGGTGTCGCTATGAAAGCGCCGTAGCCACTTTCAGGTATATTGTTTGAGTTCTTTTCTTTGTCTCTGAGTGGGCAAACTGTATGTATTTTCAAGGGTTCAGGCTTCTATCTCCTTGTCTGCACCTTCCGTGAGTTACCTACTATGGTTACCCTTCTCATCCTCAAAAGCAAAAGTGTGTGTGGCTAACAGCAAGCAAAAGCTGACACTAAATCAAACAGTGTCAGCCGTGCGGCCTGGAGGCAGCTTTGTTTTCTCTCATTCTTTCTTTTCTCTACCCATTCCACCCCACTCTCCTCAATCCCCAAACTAATGACAAAAGAAAGGACTGGTCTAATTTCAAAGTCAGCAACCTGGCCCAACAGTCTGGGCTCACGGGCATCTCGTTGCCAAACCATAAATATTTAACTTATTTACTACCATAAGCCTGATTTTCCTCTTTTAGAAAACGAATGAGTTCTACAACATCTACAACACTGATGAAAACCTTCCAGTCCCACCTGTGCCTGCGACATTGGCCTGCCTTATTGAGAAGGCAGATGCTGACAGTCAAAAGACCAGAGAGAAAATGATGCTGGCTCCCACGACAGGGAGGGAGTCTGGACTGCAAACCGAGAGAAAGTTTAACTTTGAAAGGAATTTGTCACTCTAAGATCTAGGGCAAGATATGGTGACCACTGTCTTGAGCACGTGAAGCTCTTCCCAACTCTCCCTTCCCACACTTCTTAACCCCCAGCATGGTAAGCAGCCAGGGTTCCAGGCTCACAGTTCCAAAGTGATGTCCCTAAAAGGAATTTAAGCCTTTTAAGCAATATTTCTCATTACCAATGGATCAGTGGAAATGACTAAGGAGTTGACACAATATTATGTCAAGCGTAACATCTGGCAGATTTTTTTTCTTTTACACCCTAAAACACACCCAGTCGCCCAGACAAAGAACTACCAACATTGTATACAACAACAAAAATCATGCCACATGCTTATTAAATACTAGTGTTCGACTGCCACCCAGTGGTAGGATGCGTTCCTGCGTGACAAACGGCTCCAAATGGCTAGGCACTAACACAATGTGGGGTTTAGAAAAAGGAACTGAAGATTATTCCTCGGTTGCTCATCAGTTATTCCAAGGGAGTTTAAGAGAATATCCATCTCTTCGGCTCTTATTTTCCTCAGAGAAATTTCTGAAGAGGTCAATAGCAGGGAAGGCTAGGGGCATTCTCACGAAGCATACAACTAGAGCCCACTGTCTCTGGAGAGATCACAGACAGAATGTTTTTATTTTACAAACTTCAACATGAATTAGCAATTAAAAAGACTTGCCAAACAGTCTGTTCTCACCGTCTAGATCTGTGTGAGCTATCCTAGATTTTTAGTTACGCATGAGGAGGCATTTACAAGTGACAACCTTATAAAAAGTGTGCATTATATGAAAATCTGACTTCAATTAAAACCAGCTACTAAATCCCAGCATTTCCAGCTGTCTCTTCTCTTCTCCTTAGAGAATTATATATCACATTAATTGGTATTCTGTCACATTAAAAAAATGCCAGCAATGATTAATTGCATCCTTGGTGTGTTTGAGTTATGTCTTCCTCACCAGAGGGATTCAAATCACACTTGGTTGCCTTCTAGCAGGTGCCCCTTTTGACAACCTTCAGAGAACAACCTACCTTCCTGAACTTCTCCATTTGTTTGTAGAGGTCTGGGTCAAGTTCCTGAGACACATCCTTCATCCACAATAAGGCCCCTCTATATTCAATCCGGCACTGCTCCATGCGGTTCACGGTCAGCCAGGTATCAGAGATGGCCCGATGTCTAAAAGTCTCCACTTCTTGGTGGAATCGACACAAAGGGTTCCGCAGAGCCAACCTGCACCAGAGGGCACAACTACAATTATGAAATGAAGACCAGCAGCAGTTCCAATCCAATGTGTTCTGCATTCATCACAGACCCAAGAACCTAGAACACAGTTGCTTCATCAGACAGGGCAGACAATAATTAAAATGTGTGTGAATTTGGGAATCATCCAGACCTTGATCACATTCTAATCCTTTCTTTCTTAGTGAATTGGACCGGCAAGCACTGTTTGTTTTGCTGGGTGGCCCCAGGCCTGTACAGTCTTTGTTTGAGGTTGAAACCAATCCTACATTAATGAAGGGCAGTGAAGGCTTGACCATTCCTATTTCCATTCCTGGTTCCTCCCTGTCTCTTCTGTTCCTGAAGTTTAGGCCCTATAAGGAGGGATGGGATAGGCATGACTATGGTGTCCTTGACTTGGTCATTTTGATCGGTCCTCACAGGCCAGATCACCTACAGTTTGCTCTAATAGAAGCAGAGCTGACCCATTGACCAAAGCATTTTTTAAAGTGACTCAGGGAAGAAGAGCACAATTCCTAAGGTCAATTGTGTATCAGTACTATCAGATAGGCTATATGGTTCAATCTTCGCAAAAATAAAATACAAAACTAGGTATGGTAGTAGGACACAGGTTTAATCCCAGCAGAAAACAGGAGGATCAGAAGTTCAAGATTAGTCTCAGAAGATCTGGGCTACCTGAGATCCTGGCTTAAAAGAATGAGAGACAGAAAGAAGGAGGGAGGGATAGAAAAAAGAAATGAAGGGAAGGAGGAGGGAGGGAGAAAAAGAGGGATGGAGGGAGGGTCAGAGCTTCAGCTCAGTGGTAAACACTTGCCAAGCATTAGCAAAGGCCTGGGTTCTATCCCAAGCATTGCCAGTAAACAAACAAATATCACAACAGAAATGAAGGTACACTGTACAGTGTAAAATTATTACAAGAGTAAGCCATAAAAACTGTTATTTATTAATTAAAAAAGGAAGGCATATCCTAACTTAAGGTAAAATATTTGGGGTACAAAATGCTTCCTCTCCCATATTCAAAGCCAAATAATCAATGTCAGATGACTCAAACCTTGAAAACATATTCTTTCTTTTGTCAAAGGCTTATTTTTCTTTTTAATTATCCACGTGTGTGTCTGTATGGGCACTCTTGGAGGCTAGAGATGTCAGATCCCTCAAGCTGGAGCTGTAGGTGATTGTGGGCCACCTGTGTGGTGCTGAGACTCAAACAAGGCTTCTGCAGGAGCAACACACACTCTTAGCCACTGAGACCCCTCTCCAGCCATGCAAAACATTCTCTATGAAGTTTCATGGCATAGGTGCAAAAATTTCCATTCGCATACCAAGTTACTCCACCAAAGGGAATAATGACGTTGGTGTTCTGAAAACAGCTCCTGACATCCATCAGAATCTACAATGTCTCACGTATGTAGCACTCTGAAATGATAAATCTGGAATAGACCTCAAGAAAAAAATCTCCTTTGCTATTTTTCTCCATGTTTCCTTTTGTCTGTAGTGTATTATTTAAGTGCTGAACACATCTATGGTGGCAACTGGCCCGTTCTATTCTACCTTGATATCTGGAGAGATGGCTCAGAGGTTAAGAACAATGGATGCTCTTCCAGAGGTCCTGAGTTCAATTCCCAGCAACCACAGAGTGCTTACAACCATCTATAATGAAATCTAGTGCCCTCTTCTGGTGTGCAGTCATGTATGTAAGCAGAATACTGTATACAGAATTAATAAATAAATCTAAAAAACAGAAGTCTTCTCAAAAAGTTATGTCACTGTGCCATGAGGTAAGCTTGTGTTTTATACTGGTTTAAATTTACTACTTGCCTTTCATCCAATAGAATGTGTAGCAGAAGCAAAGGCCTAACAAGTCACTGGTGTGCAGGTTTCTAACAGGAGGACTTCTATCTGAAGACATAAACAGTCCTCAGATGGCCGCCTGAGGGCGCTGCTCACTCTCTTGCTCCTTTTCTCTTTCTTTAGATTTTGTGTATTTCCCCACATTTGCTGAAAATGAGTATTTTGAATAAAGTACTCTTGACTCCTTGGAATGTTGAAGATTATACAAATATCTTTAAAGTTAGAACGACATGATGTTAGAAACTACAAAGGCATACTAAACATCCACACCAACACTCATCCCTGCCAACATGCCATAAACCAGTGGTTCTCAACCTGGGGGTCTCAACCTACCAGTATCAGATAGCCTACATATCAGATATTTATATTACGATTCATAACAGTAGCAAAATTGCAGTTATGAAGTAGCAATGAAAATAATATTATGGTTTGGGGTCACCAGAACATGAGGAACTGCACTGTAGTAAAAGCTGAGAATCACTGCCAAAAGCTGATCCATGTGAATCAGGATGGTGAAAATCCACTCACTGGAGTATAGGAAAATGAATCTAGACCAAGAAAAAATATCATTCTTACTACCTGAAACTATCATCCTTCATGTTGGGTAAAGGGACCACTCCTCCATTGCTGGTAGGAGTACAAATTGGTACAATCACTTTGGAAATCAGTATGGTGATTTCTCAGAAAATTAGGAAACAACATTCCTCAAGACCCCAAAGGATGCTCAATCATACCACAAGGACATGCGCTCAACTATGTTTATAGAAGTATTAGCATTATTTGTCATAGCCAAAACCTGGAAACAACCTAAATGCTCTTGACCAAAAAAATGGATATAAAAGATGTAGTACATTTACACAATGGAGTACTTCACAGCAGAAAAAAAAAATGACGTCTTGAAATTTGCGGGCAAATGTATGGAGCTAGAAAACATCATATTGAGTGAGGTAACCCAGACTCAGAAAGACAAATATCATATGTCCTCACCCATAAGTGGCTTTTAGACATCAAGCAAGCAAGCAAGCAAGCAAGCAAGCAAGCAAGCAAGCAAGCAAACGAACAACCCCCCCCCCCAAAAAAACAAGCCTATAATTCACAATCCCAGAGAACCTAGACAACAAAGGACTCTAAGAGAGACATACATGGATTCAATCTACATGGATTCAATCTACATGGGAAGTGGAAAAAAACAAGATTTTTTTGAGTAAATTGAGAGCATGGGGATCATGGGAGAGGGTTGAAGGGGAGGGGAGAGAAAGGGAGGGGAGCAGAGAAAAAATATAGCTCAATAAAACCAACAAAAAATCGTTTAATAATCTTAAAAATGCAAGGCTGGCCAATCCTTTATGCAAATCTGCCCAGTGGAAATAATTAATAAAATAACTAAAGGGCTACTTTAAAATATTTATCCTTTAGTAGGTAACAGCAAAAAGTAAAGAGAGAGCCTGGATAAGTGTGGTTAACAGTGAGTACTGTTCTTGCAGAAGACCCAAGGCCTGTTTCTAGTGCCCAGGATGGGCAGCTTAGAACTGTCTGTAACTCCAGCTCCTAGGGTACTGGGATGCCTTCTTCAGACTTCTGTGGGCACCCACACAATGTGGATGCATGCGTGTGTGCGTGCGCATGCATACACACACACACACACTCTAACAAAACCAATATCCTTAAAAAGAAAAATAAAACAGAGGGCTCGAGTGTATCAGAACATGCCCAGAAATCCTGTGGAGTTGCTTTTTGTTTGTTTTAATTTTGCATTTTTGTTTTTGTTCTTAAAGATGCAAACATTGAAATATAAAAAGATTACCATTATTCAATTAAATATCAATTTACTAAATTATCAGCATACACTATAACATATAAAAACTATCTGTTATAGTGCTGTTTATGCTAAAAAAACATATTCTGTGGGCTGAAAGTTGGTTTAACCATTAAGATTATGTAGAGCTCTTGCAGAGGACCCAAGTTTAATTTTCAGGACCCATGTCAGATGGCTTATAACTGCCTGTAAATCTAGCTACAGGAGACCTGAACCCTCTGCTGGCTTCTACAATCATCTGCACTCATGTGCACACACAATTAAAATAAATCTTCAGAAACATTCTTGCATACTCTAAATCATGTTCACTCAACTAAGAATTCAAGCGCAGAAGAATTCCATATAGGAGAACTAGGTGGGATATCATGTGACCAGTGAGCAGCTGGGAAAGCGAAGCCACTGTGTAAGAGGGTAAGAGGCCACCTTCCAAACTGTGGAGCTGGTTGCACCTTATTAAGTTAGTGTAGACTGCAGTTTGCTAGTCTACTGTAGATATTTTCCAGTATCATTTACATTGTTTTGTTGATGGCTTTCACCGGTGTGTGTGTGTGTGTGTGTGTGTGTGTGTGTGTGTGTGTGTGTGCATGAGAGAGAGAAAGAGAGAGCAAGACAGATACATTAACTTAAGATGCTGTATTTGTACTTTGTGGGATCATTTTGGTCCATAATCATCCAGACTGCAACCAAACAGCATAGGATAGAATAATTAACAATGTGATTAATAACAGGAACTCTCAAAGTGGTCTGGATTTGGATATTTCTTTTCCTGAATAAATATTAATTTTTGTATATGGGCCCACTTTTTTTCCCTCTGAAATCCAGTGGTAGTACATGCTTAACATAAGAGCATTTACTCTGTTTTTCCAGTAATCGATATCCTTGTAAGACTGGTCAAGGCCATATGCACAAAAGAATTATGTAGTAAGGGGTTATAATTTACCAGTTTTAGAATTTTTCTCTTTTTGATTTGTCTGTCTTTAAGTATTAAATGTGCAATCTAAGATTTATAAGAAAATACTCTTAAAAAATTTAAACTGTGGTAGAGAACTGGTAGAAATGGCTACATTCATTTCTGACCACTGCCTACAATCCGGGGTCCAAATGTCATTAGCAAGAACCACAATGTCCAAG